GGCAGTGGACTGAAAGATAGGTTAGATGAGGTAGAGAAGGTGTTTGAGGCCGATAATGGGGTTGAAACTATGGATGGTGAAAAGGCCATCAGTTCAGGGGATGAGAACTTGATAGAAGATCCACGTGAAGTGGAGAATCAGGCACGACGAGGAAACAATGATGCTATGCAGGTATTTGACTCAACGGAAAACTCCATGCTATCGATTACAACAGAAGCCTCGACTGCCCCAGAAGAAACTATGGGAGCGACAGCGGATTCACATGAGTTGGATGCAATCAAGGCTCGCTTACTCGCCAATATCACTTCGGACTTCTCAGCTGTCGATGCAATATCAAATGAAAATTCTCAGGCTTTTCAAGCAGAAGAGCCTACCCCCTTCACGACTAAAACGCCAATGCATACGCCGACGCAAACCGTCAACTGGAATACCAGAGCGACAATCGATATGATAATCACGATTGCAGGTGAGATGTATGGACAGAGGGATCTATTGGAGTTCAGAGAAGTATGGGGTGAGTAAGTCCTTCCGCGAGCGGCTTGACAAGACATATTTAGTTCCCGTTTGGAGGTCAGAGAATGAAATGCCGAAATTTGAAATGGGTTGGAAGTACCACTAGAGATTAATTACTGCATTGCCTTCTCAATCTAGTTTGTTTAAGGGTTACGTATGGTTGTAAGTATATACAGTAGGTCTCGTGGCAAGTAATATTTCTTTATAGATCAATGTGAGGTAAAACCCACTTGCCTTTTCCAAGTGCGATAGATGATGCAACTTCTACAATTGCAATGATATATCACTTCTACGAGTTTATGCGTAGTGCAGCAATTGTGTAAACATTAATTGTGTTATAAAGCAGATGGGACTATAGAAAATGCCATGCGCACGTAGAGAGACACTTTGCAAGAACGCCCAAGGACCCCCATCCATCAAACGCCTCCCCAAATGTATACAAGTCGCTATAGTTGATGCCGAAACATCAATCACCAAAGACAATTCCCACTTCCCATATCATGCAAAAGCTACCCAAACTTATCGACCAAGTGCACAATATCCCGGTTTCCCTTAAACACCGCCCATCTGAACCTCCTCAGCTAAACTGTAGTCCAAAAAGTCGGCTTCTCCAAAATCAAAATCAGCATTCTCATTTCCATCAAATCTGGTAACCATGCTGCCCATACTACTCTTCTCGCCCTTTCTCGTCCTGGGCATTGCAATTCTTCTACCCTCAACATCCATCAGGACTCTTCTCTCATTTTCGCTCTCTTCCTCTTCATCCGCAAATCGTCTCTTAGCCCCATTTCCACCGCCATAACTCCCGACACTATCGTTGCTCATCATGCTCTTTTGGCTACCCCAAACTGTTTCCTCATATTCTTCTTCATCTCCATCTTCAATCGCCTCCCCCGAATCACTATATCCCTGGACATCTAATCCCCCAACCTTCATTAACCCGCAGAAAGGTGTCAACTCTCGAATTCCTGGGCCAGGCCTTGACGCTTTATATTTCCTTGGGGTAGGAGTCGAGGCAGGTGCGGAAGAAACGTTTGATCTGATAGCAGGTGTATTATCTGAAAACAAATTGAAGGCGGAATACGAGCCGGTTTTGTAGCCTTCAGGGACGGATTTTCGGATGCGCATACCAACGGAGAGGAGTGAAGATTGGATGGGATGCGGGAGAGTGGGTTGATTTTGAGAGGGGGGAGGAGGTGCGGGGAGGGATGTGGAGCCGGTGGTGAAGTAGGAGGTTATTTGGGGTTGGGAGCCGGCATAGGGGCGCTTTGCTTGACGGGCGGGCATGGTGAACTTGGTTGATATTTGTGATGGTTTGATGGTTTGAAGAAATGCCTTTGCTTTTGACGAGTTCAGAGTTTGTTCGAATTGGCCGTAAGATGATACGTGGTGTGTGTTGTGATGAAGGGCGGAAAGGGGTCCCGAGACTTAATTACGTACAAATAATAACAGATAGTTTTCAACTGTTGAATCGGCACCAGCGAGTGAAGTGCCGCAGTTTACAATGAATCGAAGTATGGTGAGCCAAATACAATCGGGAAGGAGATGATGTGAAGGCGATCCATCTGATATCGAATGGGAAAAGGAGGAGAGGAGGGAGAGCGGAGGTTGGTAATTGTGCAATGGTTTTGTGAAATGAAAGGAAAGGAGGGGCTTGTGCAAGTAACTTTCGAGTCATAGTTACCAATGACATAAAACAGGATGGGGAAGTGGCACGCGATTGACCACGATAGCGCGAACTTGTCGCGTTTAAATCACGTTACTCGACGCAAGCGAACTTGAAGCTTCAGCCTCATCTTCTGAACCTCCAACAAGTCCATGATGACATGGCTGACATGGGTGACAATGGGCTGCCAAGGTAAGGATTCAATGGGAACCAACAGGACCCCTTGAATGTAGCTTAATGAAGCTTTGACTACTCCTTCACTCACTTTATATCAACATCAACATCATCATCGTCATTGTCAAGATCCACAATCAAACTTCAAGATGCTTCTTATCAGCCATATATCCCGCCGGGTACCTGTAAACTCAGGGCCGCCTCAACAATTATTGAGCCCACTAATATCAAGAAGCGGGAAGGGAAGGTCTGTCAATAGGATAACCAGCTTTATCCTTAGCTCTGCCACGCTATCTTTGGTCCAACAAAGATCTATATATTCTTCTCGTTTCTCATTATCCTGCTCCTCTTCCTCTCCCTCTCCTTTGCCCACCTGTTGCTCCTTTAAACAGTCAAGAAGAGTTGCTATGGCTTCAACTACCCATCGACGTCGGTCTAGCACTGTAACCCCTGTTGCTACGAATCTTCTACCAAGCTTTGCTTTTGCTTTCGAGTATGTATAATTCCTTTATCGTCATGGGTGCCTCCCGATCTAACTAGTTATAGCATTGATGGTGTCCTCCTCCGATCATCCTTGCCCATCCCTGGAGCATCCAAAGCTTTGAACCTACTCCATTCAAATAACATTCCTTTCATCCTTTTGACCAATGGGGGTGGCAAGCATGAGAGTGCTCGTGTCTCGGAGTTGAGCAAGAAACTCAATGTCCCTCTTACTGAAGAGAACTTTGTTCAATCCCACACACCATTCAAACAACTTGTTGAGGGATCTGATACTATGGAGAGTCTTAAAGACAAGACTGTACTTGTTATTGGTGGAGATGGAGACAAATGTCGCAAGGTCGCAGAAATGTTCGTTCATGCTCCCTTTTTTAATCGAGGTTCTCGATTAATCCTGTTCATATACTGAATCTGTTTGGTGTACTGAAACCAATTGGTACATTTTGTCAGCCTGAGACATTGAACAGCGACTGAAAATTTTATGGGTGGTGCTAACATCAGAACATACAGGTATGGCTTTGCTAAAGTCGTCACTCCCGGTGATATCCTCATGGCTTACCCTACCATCTGGCCCTTCAACCAGATCTTTAGCGATTATTATAACAATGCTACCCGACCTCTCCCTAGACCTGTTGACCTCGATAATCCTTCTCAATCGCTCAAGTTTGATGCCATTATGGTCTTCAATGATCCTCGTGATTGGGCTTTGGATACTCAGGTCGTACTTGATCTTCTCCTGTCCGAAAAGGGCATCTTGGGTACCCATTCCTCTAAGAACGGCGATGCCTCCCTTCCTAACAATGGCTGGCAACAAGATGAGCAACCAAAGCTCTTCTTCTCCAATCCAGATCTCTTTTGGGCAACCAATCACCACATGCCTCGTCTTGGTCAAGGAGGCTTCCAGGCTTCTCTCGAAGGAGTTTGGAATGCTACTACTGGTGGTGCCAAACTCGAACGCACTGTTATTGGGAAGCCACATCCAGCAACATACAAATATGCTGAGCGCGTACTCCACAAGTATCGTACACATATTCTCGGTGGTAGTGGTGAAGTCAAGCGAAAGATCCCACATCTTAAGCGCGTCTTTATGATCGGCGATAACCCGGAATCAGATATTCGCGGTGCTAATGAATTCGAATCATCTCATGGCACAGATTGGACTTCCGTTCTAGTCAGGACTGGTGTTTATAGAAGTGGCACTGTACCTGCTTATAAGCCAAAGGCAATCGTCGGGGATGTTTATGAAGCTGTTAAGTGGGCTTTGGAGCAAGAAGGTTGGCATTAAACTGATGAATGATTTGAATTTTATTGCTTGTTCTTCTGGCGTATATCTCGCGCGGTGCGGCATTTTGCTTTTACACCCGGACCGGATTTTATTCGCTTCGAAGTTTAAAAAGGGATTGAGCAGTTCGAACATATAATGCATTGCGAAGGTGTTTCATAGGGCGGAGGAGTCTGGGTTGCATTTGACCTTGGATGGCATGAACCGTCATTCATCGACGATGTATGATAGATGCGATACGATAAATGAGATACCATTAGTAGTAGCAATTTCATTACAATCTGCTAGAATAAATAAAATAATAGAGTTCAAACAATCATCAGTCTCGTGGTAATCTGCAGCAAGATACGAGTGAATATGGGCAGTCATGATGGCGAATGAACCACTTGGCTGGGATTCTTATAGCTTGGCCTCCTGTTCGCATCATAGTGGTGTTGATTATGATTTACGTTTCAACTGTTTAAATTTGCTTTTGTTTGATACAGTAAGTACTTTTTAATACGCGGATTAATATGCGGGTATAGAAGCTATTTGTTCTTTCCACAACTACGATTTAGCATGGATTCATGGAGAGAGGGCTTGCTCTGAGCGGGGGAGGGCATGATGGGAAGAGATATAGATCTAGAAGAGCAGGCTGGGATTTCAGAAGTTGGAGACTAAAATAGAAAAGAGCTCGAGAAGGGGGGTAGGACGTAAGAATTGGGATGGTCCGATGCTTATGCATCTGGTGGTGAAGTGAGAGAGTTTCACGAAACTATATAGGAGTTATACTCTAGTTTCGAGATGATTAATCTGCCTAATAAGCGCACAAAAACATAGGAGCAAATATATATTTTATTAGTTGGCGCCACTTCAACAAATTAAGAATCCGAATTAGTGTAGGGGTTAACATAATTCGCTTTCAAAAATTATCTGCTCCCGAGCAGTTGATAGATGAACCGAATAGCCCCGGGTTCGATTCCCGGATTCGGAAACACGCTTTGTGCCTTTTTTGATTTCCATCTCATCATGCCTTTATTTTTTTAGTATATTATTCAAGACTGGTGTGATGGATAGAAGTTGTGGCGGTTGGCTGCTTCTCTCTTTTCTTGGTTTGTGCTTGTTCGTCGGGTTCAAGTTAACGTGGATGAATGAGAGGGAGACTAGCGGACTCTTTCTCCGCATGAAAACAATCTTCCCTTCCTAGCCTCTTACTTTCAAGATGCTTTATGAAGATCAGGAGAAGCCCTCTTACGCTTTTGAGAAAACCCCGTTCTTAGGGATCAAATATGACAGATAGGTACGATCAATGAGTCTATAATTAAGGACAGAACCGAGAGTAACTCCAAGGGGCGAGGGGTGCCATTATCCAAGAAAGGCATATTATTGGCAAAAACCACTGGCCGCACCCTAGTGAAGCGTCTATATCCACCCCGTTAAATTATTTCCCCCACATTAACATAGCGGACTTGGCGACGTATCGCAACCTCAAAGACCACAATTGCAGTAATACTCGACTTTCTTTTGACTTGCAATTCATGAAGCTGGGGAGCATACCTTTCACACCATGAGTTACAGCAAGAAAGATGAAGATGGCGATATGGCCATCATGCGTGTGGATAGAACCTCTGTCTTCCAAGAAGGTCGGTGAACATTCCCATTAACAGGCCAGCTAAGCTAACATTCAACAGCGAGATTGTTCAACTCTTCCCCTATACAACCTCGAAGATGTCGTGTTCTCCTTACGAAGATCGCCCTCTTATTATACACTGGCGAGAAATTCCCTACAAATGAAGCCACTACCCTTTTCTTTGGTATCTCCAAGCTGTTTCAAAATAAAGATGCCAGTCTGCGACAGGTGGTTCACCTCATCATTAAGGAGCTGGCGCATTCCGCGGAGGACATCATTATGGTCACAAGTACAATAATGAAAGATACTGGTGGGGGAACGGATGCAATCTACAGACCAAATGCTATTCGGGCCTTGTGCCGCATCATTGATGTGAGTGCACTGCATAGCAGTTTAGGATGTCACTGACACAACCAGGCCTCCACGGTTCAGAGCATTGAACGTGTTATGAAGACCGCGATTGTCGACAAAAACCCTTCCGTATCATCTGCCGCCTTAATATCCTCATACCACCTTTTACCTATAGCCCGCGATGTTGTTCGAAGATGGCAAAGCGAAACACAAGAAGCTGCAACAGCTACAAAATCCTCGGGTGGCTTCTCCCTTGGTTTCTCAACTTCAAGCAGCCAAATGCCTGTCAACAACTCAACAATGACGCAATATCATGCGATCGGACTTTTGTATCAAATGAGGATGCACGACAGAATGGCATTGGTTAAGATGGTTCAGCAATTTGGGGCAGCAGGGGCTGTGAAGAGTCCGGCCGCAACTGTCATGCTCGTACGACTAGCAGCTCAATTAGCAGAAGAGGATCAGCAACTTCGAAGACCAATGATGCAACTCTTAGACGGCTGGCTTAGACACAAGAGCGAAATGGTTAACTTTGAGGCTGCCAAGGCTATTTGCGATATGCGAGATGTTACGGACGCCGAGGTTACTCAAGCTATTCACGTTCTGCAACTTTTCCTTACCTCACCAAGGGCTGTCACTAAATTCGCTGCGATTCGTATACTTCACAACTTCGCCTCTTTCAAGCCTCAAGCTGTCCACCCATGCAATCCAGATATCGAACTCCTCATCTCGAACTCCAATAGATCAATTGCTACCTTTGCTATCACCACACTTTTGAAGACGGGTAATGAAGCCAGTGTGGACCGATTGATGAAGCAAATTTCAGGATTTATGGCAGATATCACGGATGAGTTCAAGATTACCATTGTTGAAGCCATCCGTACTCTCTGCCTCAAGTTCCCCAACAAACAAGCTGGCATGCTAGCATTCCTCAGCGGTATATTACGCGACGAGGGAGGGTATGAGTTCAAGCGTGCCGTAGTGGAAAGTATGTTTGATTTGATCAAGTTCGTTCCCGAGTCAAAGGAAGATGCCTTGGCACATCTTTGCGAATTCATTGAGGACTGTGAATTTACCAAATTGGCTGTTCGCATCCTCCATCTTCTTGGGCTGGAAGGTCCTAAAACATCGCAGCCTACCAAGTACATCAGATATATCTACAATCGTGTAGTACTTGAAAATGCCATTGTACGAGCTGCAGCAGTCACAGCGTTGGCCAAATTTGGCGTGGCACAGAAAGATCCAGAAGTCAAGCGCAGTGTTACCGTCCTTCTAACCAGATGTTTGGATGATGTGGATGACGAAGTTCGGGACCGCGCCGCATTGAACTTGAGATTGATGTCAGAGTCTGATGACACAGCGGATCGATTTATCAAGAATGGTAGCTATTCATCACCCAATCCTCAACACATTGTTCTAATAATTCCCAGAAAACACATTTGCTCTACCTTACCTTGAGCATCAACTTGTCATGTACGTCACAGCCGATGACAAATCAACGTTCGATAATCCTTTCGATATTGCATCAATCCCAGTTGTTACCAAGGAGCAAGCAGACGCAGAGGAGCGAACCAAGAAGCTCACTACTGTAACACCAACGATCAAGGCTCCAAAACCTGGTCCCAGCAAGGCTTCACCATCTGGCGCCGAAGCTGCTGCTTCCGCTTCCGCAAACGCTCAAAAGTACGCTCAGGAATTACTCAAGATTCCAGAATTCAGGCCATACGGTGCTGTATTGAAATCATCCCTTGTTGTCGAATTGACAGAATCGGAAACCGAATATGTTGTTACCGTTGTCAAACATATCTTCAAAGAACATATTGTCCTTCAATACGAGGTTAAGAACACTCTACCAGATACTGTTCTCGAAGAGGTATCAGTCGTTGCTACCCCAACCGATGAAGAGGAGCTTGAGGAAGATTTCATTATTCCTGCAGCCAAGCTTGTAACCGATGAACCAGGTACTATTTATGTCTCTTTCAAGAAGACCAATGGTGAATCCGCCTTCCCTTCGAGCAGCTTCACCAATATCTTGAAGTTCACCACTAAAGAAATCGACCCAACAACTGGTGAACCTGAAGAAAGCGGTTATGATGATGAATACCAAGTTGAGGACCTCGATCTTACCGGAAGCGATTATGTTGTCCCTGCTTTCGCGGGCAACTTCAATCACATCTGGGAGCAAGTTGGTGCTTCTGGTGAGGAAGCGGAAGAGACACTTCAATTGAGTGGTGTCAAGAGTATAGCAGGTGAGTTTCTTCCAAAAAAAAGCCTTGTAAGCGGCATTCTAATCATTTGATAGATGCAACCGAACAACTCACGAAAACACTCTCGCTACAACCCCTTGATGGTACAGATGTACCCATTAATACAACTACCCATACACTCAAACTATTTGGCAAAACAGTTACAGGGGGAAGAGTTGTAGCTAATATCCGGATGGCCTATTCTAGCAAATCAGGAGTCACAAGTAAAATTGTGGTTCGTGGTGAGGAAGAGGGTATTGCGGCTTTGGTTATTGGGTCTGTTGCTTAGGGACTAACGATTTCATGGAGTTGAAATTTTGGGTGCATTTGATGATTGTTGTTTAGATAATGGGCATAAGAAGCTGTGATAAATGGATTGGCTTCATCTCGTAGAAGATGAAGGATACAGCACAAACTATCGAGTCAAAAAGATGAAAATTATCCAACTTTATCTTCTTGGGCGATGTCCATTTTCTCCCACAATAGATATATATGCACGTATTGTATGCACACATCGCATGACTCCCATAGATATCATTGAGACGGAAGGTTCGAACATTGTTTACTTGATTATGTCCAATGTGTTGGCTCTAAAGTCATTACTATTGCTTGATATGACGTGAATTACCCGTGTCTTGGCATATTTTTATAGAATTTAGGATTCTTGATTTGAGGGGAGGTACCTCTTTTTTTATGCGACAAAGGACACCACTCTCAATTCAACCTCATGAACTTTGTTTACCCTCAAAGTGGTTTGTATCATTAACTCAACGTCTCTTCACAATGGTGTACGTACGGCAAGAAGCCCTTCCGGGCCTGAAACAGTATAAATATTCGGGTGTCGACCATTCCCTCTTATCTCGATACGTTCTCAAGCCATTCTATACAAATTTCGCGATCAAATGTTTCCCGATGAGCATGGCGCCGAATCTGATCACCCTTACGGGTTTCAGCTTCGTTGTTATTAATGTGCTGACTTTGTTGTGGTACAACCCGACGCTCGATGTGGATTGTCCGCCTTGGGTGTATGTGAGCTGGGCTGTGGGATTGTTCTTGTATCAGACGTTCGATGCGGTCGATGGAACACAAGCGTATGTTTATCCTCCTTTGTGATTGATCTGGAAGGTCGAGAGTTGACGTGATGAGAAAACAGGAGACGAACACACCAGAGTGGTCCGCTTGGAGAGCTCTTTGATCACAGTGTCGACGCGGTCAATACTTCTCTCGAATGCTTGATTTTCGCGGCTTCGCAGAACTTGGGAATGGGCTGGAAGACAGTCATGGCCTTATTTGCTTGTGCGAACTCATGCTGCGGTTCTTTACTGGGTGTATGCTAATATTTGGTAGCTCTTCTCACATTCTACGTACAGACTTGGGACGAATACCACACTAAAACTTTGACATTGGGCTTGGTTTCTGGACCTGTGGAAGGAATTGTTATTCTCGTCATTGTTTACGCGTTCACTGCGATTAAAGGAGGAGCCAGTTTCTGGACCCAGTCAATGTTTAGAACCGTTGGCATACCCCATTACGCGTTCATTCCCAACTATGTTTATGAATTGCCATTCAATGAGTGGTATATGGTCCAAGGTGGAATTGTGCTGGTTCTCAACACCGTCCAAAGGCAGGTCTACCCCTCCTAAATCCTTGTCAAATGTCTCGCAGCTAACGACCCCTCCAGCTCCATAAATGTGATCCGAGCTCGCAGAGCTCGTGGAGATAGGTCCCGAGGCGCACTTTTGGGTCTCCTTCCCTTCTTTCTTACAT